TCAGAGCTGTGTTTTGGAAAAAAACAGAATTATTTTGTATGAGCCATTTGTAAACTGTAAACTTTCCTTTTGTGTTCGGTTTGGCAGTACAAGCAGGATTACAGTGAGTGGTTCAAGGGTATCGACTGGAGTCCTGCTGGTTTTCTGGATGTGGAGAAATCTAAGAAAGCCACAGAAATCACAAGTGATCGGAAATACCGCCAGCATCCCAGCATGTTCCCCTTTACGCAACAGAATGATGCCATGGGCATGGTCCTTGCAAAGCAGAATGCAAATATAATGAACAAAGTGAGTGGAAAATTAGGCATTCACATATAATCCATTTCAATCAACAGTCTGTAAGTCTCTGTCACCACCTTTATGTAGCAGTGTTTGCCTGGGAAAAACAACTGCCACTTACAGTTCCTCTCTTTTTCTTCTTTTTCCTTAATGAAACACTCAGTGACTGTTAAATAGCATTGGTTAAATAAATCTGTTCTCATTTTTCTCATTGTTACCTCTCCAACCTCTATTCTTCTCATTCTTGTATAGAAATTACTGGCCCTGAAAATCTTGATAGTTGGACTTTATCAGAAGCAAGACTTGGGTCCTCATTCAGCTGATTCGGGGTTAGGTCATCACACAGTAAAATAAATCTAAGTCAGCACCTTCATCTTGTTACCCATCGATATCCAAAGTGCACATATGGAAAGATGAAAGCCATCCTTTGTCATCTATATTAACACATCTGATGCTACTTTTTTCAATAGCATGCTTATACTGAAGCCTGGGTGAAGGATAAAATTCAGGTTCATGTGATGCCAGATACATCAGATATTCTACAGGCAAAACAGAACAAGGCGAACTACAGCCAGATAGAGTTTTTTAATACTTTCCATACATTTTAATTTAATATCTAGTTTCTTCAAATCCAAAGGTGGATTCAAATTTAGAACAGAGGGAAGAATTTTTATGTGAGTAGTATTTTCAGAGTAGCAGTAATTCCACCTTCAGGCTAGCAAAGGGACAGCCTAAATTACCTTATAATGTATAGAAAGCGTAAGTCCTAATTTTGAAATCTAGATATGCATAGTCCATACTCTATATTTACCATAGAAATCGATCAAGTTAAAAATGCCTTACTACGAAATTACAAGTTCATTGTGTATATATTTAACTTAGCATATGGGAGAAGAAACAGTGGCAGTGATTCTAACTTCTCTGTCAGCTTTCAAATATGAGAAGGTGACAATTGTGCCAATATAAAACACTTAGGTTTTGCTTTGCATGGTTGTTCAGCAGCAAATCTTTGACTTGCAAGTGCTGGTACTTAAAATCAACTGTGCACAAACTGAATTCATTATGAAATGGCTATGTGACAGCCTTATAAATTAAAATTTTGTTAAACCAATTGAGAAGTTTTTGGTTATCCTAGAACTATATATTTCAAATTCCCCAAATATGGTTCACGTCCGCAAGATAAGCTATAGTAGGAAGCTGCTGCAGTAAAGAAGACCTATCTAATCACTAGCCTGAGACTTGGAAGACCTGTGTCCCTTGCTTATCAGTTTCCCATTTCTCAGTTCCCATTCTGTCAAGATGCAGAGTGAGAGGGAGTACAAGAAAGATTTTGAGAAGAGGAAGACAAAGTTAAATATGCCTGTGGATATGCCAGGCTTCCTTCTAGCTAAGGAATGTCAGGAACTGGTGAGGGATATAGACTACAAACGGATGCTACACGGCTGGACCTCCCTGCCATACCAGAATGACATCACCCAGGCAAAGAGGGTCTACAAACTACAGAGTGATGTAAGCTTCCTCCAGATTCAATTCATGTATTTCTTGGTAAGATACTGACTGCTTATTGAAAAATATTTTTAATAACTCTCTTTTGATGTCATTATAGATCAGACTGAAGCTGAAGTAGCATTTAGTCTTTTAATATGGTTTAGTAAATGAGCAGAGAAATAATCTACCATGGTTTTGATTATTTTTCCTTAACAGAATCTATACAAGTCAGACCTACAATGGCTCAGAGGCCTTGGATGGAGTTCTTTGGGATCTTTGAAATCTGAAAAGAACAAGAAAGCTTCTGAAATACCGAGTGAAAAGAAGTATCGGCAGCACCCAGACACTATTAAGTCCACAACTATCTCAGATGCCATGGACATCGTTTTAGGAAAATCTAATGCCAAAACCAGAAGTGAAGTTGCCTCTAGAGACAGGGCATGTGATTAAATAAATGAATACGTTAGCATACACTTGTTAAAAAGACGAATATCAGATGCTGATGTTCTGTGCCTTACCGCTCAGTCATCAGGAAACCCTAAGCCTTATTCAGAAGTTTAAGGTCTTTAGGGTTGTATAACTTATTCAGTAATAACTGCAAAAGAGATCCTTTACTATGTAGTATGTAAATGTGTTGTCATAATGCTTTTCCCCTGACATTTCATGGATGTAAACAAGAAAAAACCGTAGTATTTCAGTAAGAATTCATTGTACTATTTCATTTTAATATCTTGCATTGTTTGTGTCGCTCCTGCGTGCATAGTACATCTTTGCTTTGCTATTGTAGAGAGAAGGTAAACTGAATTTACTGCTGTGCACGCGAGCCTTTTATCTGACAAGGTGTTTTTGTTTGTGTCTGTTTTCAGAGACTGTACAGAGAAGCTTGGGACAAGGACGAGACTCAGGTTCACATCATGCCTGATATTCCTGAAATTTTGCTGGTTAAATCAAACTTAATTAACACAAATGATGTAAGTATGTCTCTACAATGTTTCTGTTGTGGAATTTGCAATTACCCATTGTGGTTTTAGTTTAAAATGCAGCAGAGTAATTCTGCAATTCCACGAGCTGTAACCTGTGATCTGTTCCTGAGAAAATTCATATGCACTGGGAAGCCCGAGTGGAATTTCTAAAATGTAAAGTGAAAGTGGAATTGCTAGACTATAGCAAAAAAATGTTCAGCACAAGCTGGCAGTTTTCTCTTTCATCCCTTCTGATCATATTAACATTGTAGATATGTGTTCAGTAAATTTTAGTAAGCCTGTCACTCTTGTTAAAATATCTGATTATACTGAACTGCCTCATGAGAATTACACAGGAACATGTCATTTCCGTCAAACAGCTGCCTATAATGTAACAAATACAGGCTACATGCATTGGTAAAGGAATATTAGCAGCTCTGTCATAAGAACTCAAGAAGACAAAAATAATTGCAACGGGTATAGCGAATTATTGTTATTCACCTCTGTAGGAGACTCTATGAATCATTCAGGTGAATATGTTAAGTAAAAGAAAATTTTATTCTTGAATGAGTTAATCAGATAACATAAAGAGAGTAATTTTAAAATATTTCATATCATCAGTTACATTATTATAAGCAACCTGTGGAATTTAATCTGATGAATGAAACTGTGTTTGGAATCTCCTAATTTTATATTCAATATTTAGGGGAGGAAAGTTGTAGTATTGAAAAACTCTCTTGAGAACTTTATTTCCAATAACTACTTTGAATCCTTCTCCAACAGAAACATTACAAGTTAGGGTATGAGGAGCTGAAGAGGGAAGGCTACGATCTGCCTCCTGATGCCATACCGTTAAAGTCAGCAAAGGCATCCAGAGACACGGCTAGTGAAGTAAGTCTTACAGAGCGGAAAATCTAGTGGGGCATAGGGCTGGTAAGGGCATTTGGATAAAGGTGGGTTTTATTTAAAATTAAGAGACATTTAAAATGTTAATAGTCTTATATCGCTGCCCTCCCTATAGTTTGCATAATTTGTAATGGTGTAAAGTTAATTAAATTAAATACAATAATCTAAATTGAGATAATATATTATTATAAAAAATCAGATCATATCTCCTTGACATGTAATAAAACCACCAAAAATGTTGGAAAAATGTGCAAAGAAAAATTAAAATGTATTACATACGTAAGTTTTAACCGCTATATTAACAACAGAGAAATAGCAACAACAGCTTGAAAAGAGGTGATAATTGTGTTTCTCATTCAGTTAGTACCGATACGAAACTGCCTACTGATGCCGCGATAGATTCGTCTCAACAACCGAGGTTCAACCAAAGTTGTTAAGCAGGTATTCTTTATTGCAGCGCTGGGCACGCTGGGGATCATTCCACCAAAAGCGTGTGCCTAAAGCAGGTGATTACACAGCTTACATAGCAACTGTTCGTACATATTCATTGTTTTCCGAGGAATTCGTTTGCATTCTGCTCCTTATTACGCAAGCACATTGCCCTGTGGTGGTCTGTCTCAGGGGTCTCAAGATAAAGGCTCCGAGTCTTCTTCACTGTTGAACTTTTTACCTCTTCTTCTTGCGTATGCTTAGTCCAACCCTTCAGTTGTTTGTCTCAGGGTCTCCTCCTTAGGTCCGGCCTGCCCGGCTCACCTTGTACAATAGTTTCTTATCTATCGTCTGTTACCATAGCAACTACCATTTGTTTAGGCTTAAGTAGACTGAAAACTTTTACTTGTTTGGCTTGTTTATACTTCTCTTACAGTCCTTTTTGCTAGCAAGTCCTTACAAAGTTGAACAATAACTATTTCAAACTTCAAGGTGCACTACCTCTATCCCATTGAAAATACCTGTGGTTTTAATTCTTCACCACTGAAAGCAGCTGGGCCACCACGAAGGGGCCTGTAACATCGAGGATGACCTGAAGATGATGTGGTTGATGCATGCAGCCAAGATCCAGAGTGACAGAGACAACAAAAAGGCCTTTGAGAAGTCAAAGACACACTTCAGCAGCGTGTTCCTAAGAAAAAGGTGTTTCTGAGTCAGTGCAAAGCAAAGGCCCCTCACTGCAGTTCGTTGAGGCCGTTTGCACTTCGACTTTGTTGCCCGGTGCTTGTGTGATCTTATTTCACGTTGCACGCGTGCAAGTCTGCACACCCCTAATGCTGCAGCCACGCGGCTCAGCCGGACAGTAGGAAACAAAGCCGAGACCAAGTTTTGTGTAAGAAGCAGGGCATTTATTGTTTCTGTCTGGACTGGGGCAGACCCAGTCGCTCCTGTACCCCAGAAGATCTTCTCAGGGCTTAGCTCTGCAGGAGCTGAATTGACTCACACATGGGTCTGGTTTGTTCCCTCACTGCAGGGAGATGAGTTCAACCTCTTTTCAGTCTTCCTTGACATTTCAGCGAGAGGTAGGGCAAAAAATGTCCTGTTGTGCCCATTGTCCCATCCCGGCTTATTGGCTGTGGGCCTGCAGACGAGGAGACGCTGGGCTGGGAGCGGTGAGGCCTGTGCAGGAGAGCCTGGTGCTGTGCGGTGTGTCAGCTGCTGTGGGCTGTGGGGGTGAGTGCCGTCAGGGCTGTGCGGGATGAGACCCATGTTGCCCGCTGGAACAGTCGGGTGGTGTTCCCTGTGCTTTGCTTGCCAGCTGCTGGGCTGGCCTCTCAGTGTGGATGTTTAGGTTGTGTGGAGACCCTGCCTGCTGGCACACATCCCTCCTGGATCCCCAGCTAGCTTGTCTGGGCCTCTGTGTGCCTTGTGTGGCCCACGGTAGAGGTGGAGGTGGGGTGGAAGTCACAATAGATGTGTTCTGTGCTTGGACACCGCTTTGTTGTGTCATCTTTTCTTCCAGCTGGTTTACAGAGCTACAGGCAAGGAGCTGAAGACAGAATACACTGCCATCCTTGATACATCTCACTTCTTAAGAGCCAAGCAAGGACAAAAAATACAGATCCAGGTGACAAATTTGTAGTCATAAAAAATAGTGAAAGGATCCCACTTAATACAGTCTTACAGTACAGCAAAACTTTTCCAGGCCATTTCAAAGCAATGTAGAAGTCCTAGAGAGGAAGTTTAAAGTGACTCTTGCTCATTTTTAAGTGGCTATGGATTTTCGTCTTGACCATGTCTGTGTGATGGACATGTTAAGCTTTGTCCATCTGAAATAGAGCATTGAACCCTGGCACAGTTCTGTTCAAATTCCCTGAAACTCCAAATTCATCAGAGGAATAAATATTTTTATCCCTCTACCTTTCTTCATCATCAGATTTTATTAATATAATAGCAGTAGTTCATTATCTCACTTATTAGCTGCAAATTTTGTGGAATTTTGGAATTTGCGGAACAAAACAAAGACGCTCATCAGAGAAAAACAGACCTTATGGATGCTTTTATCTAAAGCTGGGTCTGGGTGGAGGGCAGAGGGGTCATTAATGTCACAGGCGTTGGACATCTTGGTTTGTGAGCACATTACTGGCAGCTACAGAGTATCAGGAGTACAAACTCAGACAGTACAGAAGACGAATGGGCACATTATTTTTTCCCGGTGTAAACTGTGAATTTACCATCATTTTTTCCCTCTGAAAAAAAAAATGAAGTAAAACTTTCTTGAAATGTGTATTTTCTTATATTCTTTTCTTCTTGCTGCAGTATACGTACATGGAACTTGCCACAGAAGACAGACCCCGTCATCATGCTGGTGGTCAGCCTCCAGCCTTCACCCATGCTAGGCATGTAAAGGACATGGGCAGTGAGGTAAGCTATTGGGGGTTTTTTGATGGGCACTACTATGCTGAACTGTTCAGAAGTTTAATTTCTAATTTTGGTGATAGTTTCAAGGCTCAGACCTGCAGCACCCCTGGGCGTTAATGTCATACAAGAATAGCAAATGCTTCTAAGACTCAACAGAGAAAAGATGGGTTTAAAGTGATTTGTTTACACATGGAATCTCCAAATAGTGTAGGCTGGAAGGAAATGCTGGATGCTGGAGCCAGGATAGAATACCTTTTATCAGATATTTCCATCTCAGCTTTGTGTTAGAAGTAAACTTGCGTGTCACTGAGAACGAGCTCATTTTCTAATTTAGTAATAGATTAGAGAGAAAAATGATCTGAGCTTCTGCACACCAGGTTTTTAGGTGAAACTGATCTTTCCTTCAAGCGTGGCATAGTGATTTGTGATTTAAGGCAATGGCTAAGAGTGCGTTCCTCATTCGTGAGGTCACTGCTGTTTATTTCAGATGGCACATTGTATCCTGAAAGGATATGTGCTGGGCTGGTGTTTTCTTCCAGTGATTAGTCTTACTGCTCTCTTAAGAATGATTGTGAAATACTGCAGAGGAGCATCCCAGATCTTTCTCCTAAGACTGGAATGATCTTCCTGCTTTCATCTAGATCAGGACATGGAATAAGGGATAAGTAAGAGGTTTTATGCCAAAAGTGCCACTCTCACTGTTCTGGAGAGTAGTCTGGTGATACTTGGGTGTTTTTTCCTCAGTATTCAGTCTGAAAATGAATAGGATGAAATGTTACTCTAGATGGACCAACTCCATGTCTCTCTAGTTTTCACGAGAACCAAATTACACTTGGTTGTAGGCAATTGCAGCTTCCCATAGCTGACTCCCTAGTTATCTAGCATTTTAGACATGCAACTCGGTTGACGGACGGAGTAAGTCTTAATGATTTCTGTAGAGGCTTCTGCTGAAGTAGTAAGTCTGTGTACATTAATGCCGAGTGGAAGGCTCATCTTCCTTAGGAAAGTGTAAATAAATCAAAATATATTCAGGCTTAAAGATGTCTTCAGGTCAGACTAAAATCATGAAAGACAAGGTTGTTCCTGTTGTCTGCCTGAGTTTTAGGACAGGTCAGGTTTAGAGTACCTAGAAAGTGAAATCCTGGCCCCGTTCCATGGCTTTGTCATTGCAGAGAAACTTCTCCTTTGCTGACTGGTAAATAACTGCAAACTTAAATCATGCTGCTTGCTTAGAAACACGGGTGGTTGAAGTAGAGAGAGAATCACAGTTGCTTTCCTGAGACATTGTAAAAAACCTTCATCAGGGTTGTGAAGATAGTATTGTCTCTTTCTGTAGCGCTAAAGGAACAACAAACACAGCATAATAGCAAAGAGGGGTAATGAACGTCCTGGGTTTAAGATTAAAATTGCCAACGGAGTTGGGAGGAGCAGTGCCCACAGCCTGGGGCAGTTCTCAAGTTTAGCTTATTGTGCATGTTCAGCTTTCCTTGGCTTGGGTGGAAGGATTTGGCAATTTCATGTGTGAATTTGAACGTATCTCCTGAAGATGTTTTGTCTTGGTTTGTGCGGTTAACATACACTTCTTCCCCATCCCCAGGCTGAATACAAAGAGGACTGTGAAGAGAAGACATACAAGTGTACTGTGGTTGCGGACACTCCAAAACAGTTCCTACAAACCACAGAAGTCAGCAAGCAGATCCAGGATGTAAGTGTGGTCAATCCCTCCTGCTCTGAGTTATGACCTTTGAAGTGTGATAATGAAGAATGTGGCATTTTCAGTAGTCCATTATACAACGTTTCTCCTCTTGATTTTTTTTTTTAATTGACACCAATAATGTCAAGGAATAATATAATCTGTAACAATTATTGTAACAATTTTTGGGGGGTAGAGCAGCCCTCCCCAGTAGCGAGAGCCATTTGCTGGAACTGGTAGCTAATTAAATCGTGGCTTTGGGGTGTTAGTTTCTGGGTTTTCTTCCCCAGAAAGAGAGAGAAGGGAAGATGAAAGGGATAGAACAGTAACATAGGATTTGGGAGTCCTCATCCTAATTCCTCCTCCTACCCTAGGCTTTCTTTCTGACCTTTGTCTTGTTCCTTAGATACCCATAAATGAAATGAGGACATTAGCACTTCCCTAACCCAGCGTAGTACTGTGAGAATAGGTAGTGTGAAAGTCACTCAGATGCTACGTGGATCACCCGTATGATGAAGAAATCTAGGAGGAAAAAATAACCGTATTATTCAGATAGAAAAGTGGATCATTACAAAGAGAAAAATGTTCAAAAGTGGTCTGTGGATTGAAGTACCTCTTTTTGGTTCCAAACTGAGCGCTGGATCTGATTCTTTTCCTTCTGTTCGATTTTCTTGTGACAAGAGCAATTGTTCGTGTCATGTTTTTCAGATTTGGATGCTTTTCTTTCTGACGATGATACTATCTTTGTAAACTTTTCTTATGTTTGTCTTTCTTTAGCTGAAATACAAAGAAGTGTACGAGAGGGATAAATCTCACTGCAGTGTCATCGCAGATCCAGCTCATATTAAGACTCCAAGGTATGCCTACAAGCTGAACAGCAACGTGAGTTTAGTTTTGACAATGCTTCCGTTTGATTTTGGGTAGTGATTGGGATGGGCAGTGGAGACCGTGAGTGAGTATTTTCAGTTCCACTGAAACTTTCTGAGCTTGGACGTTGCTTCTAATTCTTAGGCTGCTTGAATAAAATAGATTTTCACTGATTTCATACTAAAGTGCTCACTCTTGCAAGCTGTCCTTGTATGCCACACATCTGCTGTCCCTCTAGTCCCACTCTGTTTCCCCGACAGAGACATAACTGTCCCAGAACTTCTCTGTGATGCTGTTTTGTCGATGCACGAAGTGCTTCCTGGGAAGCTCTCCTCTGGTTTCTGTTACTGGTGGCCCAACATCCACTTCAGTAAACAAGGAACCAAAAACACCTTCTTCAAAGCCACGGCATCTTTTCAGTCATTCAGATTCCTTCCTCCACTAGCAGTGGAAAAACTAGAGTAAATGGACTCCCACTGGATTGTGCACGATTCAGGGGAAAGGCCTAGTCTGGCGTAGATGCACTTCTCACTTTCATTGGTACAGACCAAAAAAGGAATTTGCACCTATATGAATGTCCTGTGTAAAGTACAAAACTTCCAATTAACTTATTTTTTTTCTTCTTTTTTTTTTTTTTTAATTAGAAACAGCTGGAATGTAAGAAAGAGTATGAAGCAGGCACTGCTCATTGGCACTGGGTTGCTGATAGGCCTGGCTTTGCTCAGGCAGCGAAGTCGTCACCGCAACAGAGGGAAGTGAGAAGATCAGAACAAGCTGCATACTCCCCTTCCCCTCATCTCCCACCTTCAGAATGGTAATTTAAAAAAAGTAATAAAACATGAAAGAAAGAGAGTCTCAAATATTTTATTTTCTTGCTACAGTATGAACACAAACCGGCCCGGGAATTCCGAAAGGGATGCCAACTCTCTGTCACAGGTGATAAACACACAGTTCTGGCCTTAAATAACGCCCCCTGGGCACGCGATGTAGGTACTCGAACACTCTCTGTTTTGTGCCACTACAACTTCACTTCCTACATGAACTACTTCATTCTTCATCCAATCCTATTTCCAAGCCAGCTTTGAAAAGCTGTTCTCAGTCTCACTTCACTATTTGATTTGGCGTGTTTGTTTCACTAACAAATGGGGAAAATCTGAATAAATTGGGTCCCGTCAATGTCCGCGGCCCAGCTGATGGATCAAATACATCTCCAGCGCTGCCACTGCCTGGGCAAACAGCCCGGAGCTTCGGGGTGTCTCTGCCTCCCTGTGCTCGGAGCGGAACCGTCCCCTGGAGAGAAGGGCACAGAGACCCGCCGGCACGCAGAGGCTCTGCACAGCCCTCCCCCT